TGACAAAGATCACACTCTTGTTTAATTATTTCCTTGTTGTAAAACTGAAGCTATATTTAACATTTGAAAGCTCAACACTTATTACCCTCATTTTGAACACCAGCACATGTGAAGCCTGAATTCCAGTTTATCATCGAGGAGAGTTAGCCCCATTATCTACATTACATTAAACCCATTTTCTGGGATGACGCAGAGGCTGTGATACCCCCCACAATGCAATACCAGAGACAGACTGAGAAGCATGGCACAGAGACACTCTGCAGTCACCTCTGCTTTAGCAAGACTCAGTATCCAAAGCCCTTCCAAAACTCAAGTCTTTGTAGATTACTCCTGGTTGACCTGTGGCCCTGGAGGAAATACTGCTACACCCATATTCCCCTGTGCCCTCTATCTGAAGTGATTCATGCCCCAGGCCTTTCTGCATCAGTGGCATAAACAACACAGAATCCATCTTAAATATCCACATTTTACATCTTTCTCAATTTAAATTTAAAGTTGAGCTTGAATAACTCAATTAAAATAAAGTATTTGAGATTTTAGTTGTCAGAAAAACCTCCTGGTCAAGATCCTGCTTTTCAGGAGGTTTGTGGCTATAAATAAATTCACATGGGAAGCAATTGAAATTACTTACTGTGTCCTTTTAATATAAACATTTTAATATGAGTGCATATGCCAGAACTGCCATGTACAAAACCAGAGCTGAATAAATGAGGATAATTTACCCTTCCAAAGAAGTTATTTTCAAAATTATTCATTGCAAATGAAATCACAGAAGCTGCAAGAGATATGTGTAGCAAGTGGTATTATCAGAAAAGCAGCCCAGTGATCCACAAAGAAGAACTGAAACCAAACTGCTAAACACGCATTTGAGAACATCAGCTGCTTCTGCAGAGATAACTCTTCTTCATTCTGGTCTGTTGGTCTAGTTTAAGCCAATGACCAGTTCATTAAAAGTTGAGACAGTATGGGAGCTGATGAAGGGGGAAATTACCTCTTTCTTCACCAAACTTATAAAAAAAGTTGAAATTAGGAAATTATTGACTATTACAATAACCTTGAAGGAAAGGATGGTGTATGGTAATCTGCTCAATTCTTTACATTAGAACTGATGCACTATTTGTTTACAGGTAAGACATATTCTGACTTGACTTGCTTGAATATATTGAAAAAAGAAACCTAGCTTTGGTAAAAGAGAAATTTTAAGCTTTCAGCATTTACAACTAAATTAAAAAAACTCATATAGAAAACTTATAACCTAAGAGAAGGCCACAAACAGAACATACACTATTTGAATGCTGCTTTCAATTTTTAAATCAGAGCAACTGCTAAATAGCTATTGAAATCTAATGTGTTTTACCAGAAGTTTTCTCAAGAAACAGTAAGATTTTCTCTTCATGAGGCATTAAATTAATTTATCAAACCAACTCGCCACCACTACTTCCTCATTCCTGCTGCCTATAGAATCTTCACAATATCTCAATATCTTGCCTAGCCACAGAATTATTAATCCTGCAGGTCATTTCCAGTACAGCAGGAACTACACTATACTCCCTTGCCTCTGCCCCAGTGAAGACAAATACAGCTTATAATACATTCATTTTTTCACATTTTTCTAGCACATGTATTCAGAGTAGCAGACCCTCCATCTAAAGGTACTTCTCCTCTGCAGTGATTAAATCCTGAGCCCCATGACCAGAGTTTGCAGCAAGTATCAGATCCGTGCAGGTACACTAAATAAAAATATGGATGTTCTGAGGCAAGTTGCTGTATGATGAAGGTCTGCAGCACCACCTGAGAACCACTGCAGTTCTTCTTTCCCCCTTGACCAAAAAGTGATGAGAAATACCTTACAGTAATGTATTCAAGCATTTCTTTGGGTTGCCAGTTGAGACAGCACACATTAAGCGGTGTGCATTAATCCTACAACAAAAACTGCAACAAGATCGAACATAAAACAGTGTTTGGTGCTGTGTTTGCTTTTCACTTTGTACTGAATTTTTAAACTTTAAAATAATCATCCCTCATTATTCTACTGCTCTCAAAGATAAATCAACATGTTTACAAATAACCTGGTTTCAAGCTTGAACTCTGCGAGTTTACTTCTGAGCTCTTCTCTGGTCATTCTGTTGATATAACCATTGGTTATAGCAATTTCTTTGTAAATCGGATCACTGAAGTCGTTTGAACTGGCAGCTGAGGTTTTGCCATTAGTTTCTTGATCACTGATCTTACAATGTTGTCTACCCTAGAAGAAAGAGAAATCAGGAAGTCATTTAAGAAGCTCAAAACTAGATGCTTGCATGCGAGCATTTCACAGCTCATTTTGGCACCAGAAAGCAGTAAAGCACCACACTTATGATCAAACTGAGCGAACCAGCTTATAGAATGGTAAGAGAATCAATACTGACACCTGCTCTGAAACAATGTTTTCCTAAACAGCAACAGAATAAAGGGGCAGTGGTGCCCGTGTCCTGAGCCGTGTCGAAGGGCAGCTCTTGGAGACAAAACTTGAATACGCATCCTAATCTCAACAGAAAGAGTTCTCTGGTGCGAACGGGCAAAGCCTTCACGAGCAGCGAGATTTCTCCGGACGACTGAAATAACCCGAATCCACACCGACTGGGATACGCAGGCCGGTGCCCAACGCGTGCAAGAAAAACAAAGCAATTAACAAGAGGGAAAACTACGGGCACTTCCCGGCTCCCGACCGCTGCTCGCGGCCTTCGCGGGCCCGCGCAGAGCGCGGCCGCGGGCGGGCCGGGCCCGGGATGGCGAACGGCGGCAGCGCCGGGGCAGGGCGGGCCGGGGCAGGGCGGACCGCGGCCTCGGGCCGCCCGCCCCGCGCACTCACCGGCGGGCGGGCTGCGGGAGCAGCCGCCGCCTCGTCCCGGGCGGCCTGCGGGCGGCTCTCTTCCCGCTCCTCCATGGCGGTGCCGGCGGGAAGCGCGGCGGGGACGGCGGCCCGTCGGGGGCGGGAGAGCGCGGAGCCCGCCCCTGGGCGGAGCAGCGGCCCCGGCCCGCCGCCGCGCTCGGGCGGCTCCGTGAGACCCGAGCGGGTGCGGCCGCGGCTCCCGGCGCTCCCGTCCGGCGCCGAGCGCTGCGCTGGGTGTGCCAGGCGTGCCCGGGCCGCCTCAGCCCCCGCTGTCCCGCCGGCCCTGCCCCTCTGCAGCAGCACCGCCGCCTCAGCCCCCAGGGGCTGTCCAGGGGCTCCCCCGGGGCGTGGGGTCACGGCAGCTCTCTGGAACCTCTCTCCGTTTCACGGGAAACACACACTGAGCAGACACCTCATTTATGCCTCCGTCCTCCTTCTCATGGCACTGATTTTGCACAGAGCACCCGAAACACGGATCTGGGACACCCGTGGCGTGCTGGGTGCCAGGTCACAGCCACCAGAAGGACGCAGTTGACCCCCAGCCCCTCCTTGCCACGGAATTTGCCGTGCCTGCTGTTCCCCATATCCCTTAATCCACAGTCAACAAGCAGGGTGAGGTGGGCGACATGAGACGTGTAAAGCTCTCTGGCTCTTCTTGGCCAGGAGGCAAAAGCAAAACAGTGAAATCTCTCTGTCCATCACAGGTCAGTTTATTTCCTGCTGGTGCTTCCCGTAGTCCTGAAATGCTGTCCAGCATCCCTCAGCGATGGAGGCCGATGTGTACCGGCACCCAACTAACGCAACCACACCTACCCCCACATATGCCAGTCACTTAGCAGCCTAGAACCTTCTCTCTGCCCTGCTGTGGCTGGGCCCCAGCACCCACCCTCAGTCGGACCTCCCGTCTCACTGTGGCACACCAGCATCTCCTTGCAGATGATGACATCCCCTCCCCTAGACCTGCTGTGTAGCATTTGTCATCATCGGGTGGGCGTACCACAGAGGTCTGTCTCCTCCACATTGAGTGATGACAGAAGTGAGATCACACACAAAGGCTTGGGGCTATACGTGCATGTCCTGCTTCNCACCACCCCTATGTGGTGATCGACAGTGTCCTGATTTAGACTGGGACAGACTCTGGGAAGAGTAATTTTCTTCCTAGCAGCCATTGCAGAGCTGTTTTTTTGATTTAGTATGAGAATATTGTGGATAATACACTGATGATTTAGTTGTTGCTCAGTAGCATTCACTCTAAGTCAAAGCCTTTCAGTTTCTCGTGCTCTGCCAGTGAGAAGCTGCACAAGCTGGGAGGGAGCATGGCTAGGACAGCTGACCCGAAGTGGCCAAAGGGATATTCCATACCATGGAACATTTTGACCAGTATATAAATGGAGGGGAGGAGGAAGAGTTGATTGGGAGCTGCTGATGTTCATCCCCCATCACTGGGGGAGGGGCTGGACATCAGTCAGTGAGTGGTGAGCAAGTGTACTGTGCATCACTCATCTTTTTTGGGTTTTATTCCTCTCTCTTTCATTGCAATTGCTATTATTAGTATTATTATATTTACTTTGCTTCTATTATTAAACTGATTTTAACCCATGGGTTTTACTTTTTTCCTATTTTCCTTCCTACCAGGAGGTGGTGGTGAGTGAGCAGCTGTGATGATGCTTAGTTGCCAGATGGGGTCAAACTGCAGCAGTGGGAAGGGATTTACTCCCATTTTTAATTCATCCTCCTGGTGCTGCCACAAATGCTCCCGTTGCCAAACAGAGGACCATCTGCCTTACTACTTTGCCTCCAAAACCTGCTCTGAACATGAGCAGGAAACCAAGTTTTTCACAAATGCAAACAACATGATACCAATGAGAGCCACTGAGCTGGCCTCACAAACCCATAAAATACCTTAAAAGGTAGTGAGTAAAAAAGCTGTTCCCCAGAAACACCTGCCCTGCTAAAGTGGGCAGTGATTCACAGATATTAAATATGGGGCTCCATGCTCAGATTCACTCAATGGCAAATCTCCCCATGACTTTGCTACAGCACAGATCTACAGCCAGTGCAGACCATTCCAGAGCTAGAGTCCAAGGAGGCACTGAAAGAGGAAAAACAAATCACACAGCCAGGACTCTCCTGGAGATTGAGATCACTTTTATTTTCAGTCATTTTGGCGAGGACGTGTGGGCAAGTGGAGGTGTGGTGCGCGTATGTCTGGGCATGCATGTGTGTGTGTGTGTGCAGAGTCCTGCCCAGTGACGTAGATAATATGAATACCTGCAGTTACAGTCCATGAACTGAGCCATGAAGCGTGTGATGAGTGCTACACTGAGGCCCACTTGCTTGCCTCTTCTTGTGCTTACTGCAGTGCAGCATCTCCACCTCCCGGCACAGCTGTTCCAAGGAATGACAGCTCAAGATCCCATCCAAAGGGCGTGAGAGGAACTGAGCTCCAGGATCTGGCTCTGCAGGAGTGAGCCAGTGGATTTTCATCTCACTTAGTGAGCTCCTAAGTAACATTTGCAGTTCCCTTTGACACAACTGTATCTAACTCCTCACAGTGAGGAGCCTCAACTGCTTGGACAAACTTTAGCTGCCTCAGAGGTACAATGGGAAAAAGAACAGGGATCCCACTTAAGTTCCAGTGCTACAGTACAGCCAAGCACATCTGGAGTTCCTGGGAAAGCAGCATCCAAATACACTACTGAGTTTTTACAGCCATCATAAAACTGTGGCATGGGGGATGCTGCAAAGGAGATGACCCATGTTTCTGCAGCCCCTAGTCTCTTTCATCTGATCTGAGAGACTATAAGGCAGGGTAAATCCCAAACTAGCCTCTATTTCAGTTTAACTTTCTAAAGCTGAATCCCCCAAGCACAGAGCAGAGACAATGCAGAACAGCACTGCCATGAAAGGAGACTAGTCAAAGGGATCCTGGCCTTGTGGCAGACTGGAAACAATCTTACTTCTGAGACGTTTTTGCTTATAGCAAAGTTAAAACAGAGGTGTCCCATCACCCAGGACCCTCTGCAGCTGCCAAAAGTCTCCCAGTACTCCTGTAAGCCCTAAAATGACCTAGGTGTGCAGCATCACCATTTGAGCTCACTCTCTCTCATCTCTACCTATTTGTATGTTGCTTAGGGACATGGCAAGGCTGCTGTCCTGGGAGTTTGACTTGGACGGATGCAGTTTTGAATCCCAGGTTTTGCTTCAGAGTGTAACACAAGGTACTCCAGACATCTTCCAGCTGCTGAAAGTCCTGGAGTGCAAAAGCAGCTCGCTAGCTCTGCTTCCAAATGTGTCTGAACCAGTTTCAGCAGGAAATCAAAAACTGGTCAAGCAAGGGATTGCAAACCAATAAGCAAAACCAGTACAATCATCTTGGGTGAAGTAGGCATCTAGAGACTGCCAGGAGATTCTCCTCCTATTCCAAAGGAGTCAAATTCATTGACAGCTCCACAGGGAGACAGCTGATGCCCCAGTCCTTTCTGACCTCTTTATAATACATCTTCAGTAAAGACTGCACAGTGGTCCACAGAGGCCTTAGTAATTTCTAACTGTGGTAACTCCCTGAGCAGGGATAAGAACTGGAACATAATACATACTCTGAACTCAGGTATCTGCTCTTAGGGCAATGCATTCAAGCCCTCTTTCCTTGTGGCTTGATTAATGAAAAATGACAGATCCTTCAAAAATACAGGGCCCTCATCCCTGGGGCTGAGGGATATTATGTGGGGTCTGAGGCAGGAGCTCAGCAAAGGGACACTGTATGAGGATCCAAGGCTGCATCCTTAAAAGACAGCGACAGCAAAATCAAAAGTACTATGAGCCGCTTGGTTTGGTTCTCCTGCATGGATCTCCCACCTGGCAACTGCAAAGGCAGGATGTTTCTGAACTGCATAGAAAATTAAATGGCTTTTGCATATTAAAAAAATTTGGATGAATACACAGTTACACCAGTTACTAAACAGTGGGTGGATGAGCAATCACTGTGTCGTATTCAATAGACCCAACTAGATTGATCTCTACACTGCCACACTCCCGGCATTACGGCTTCAGTGCACAGCAGCAGCCTGCATGCCTGCAAAGGCCAGGGAATGCTCCCACAGAGGTGGCACGCCCCGGCAGGAGGGCTGCGGTCCCAAGGAGCAGGCTGTAAGATGTCTGCTCTGTCCTCTCACTCCTTCAATGCTCACACATCCCAGACCAGATGGGCACACGGGAAACAGGCATCCGGCTGGAAAAGGATTCCAGTTTGTGGTTTCTTTACAATGTGGTTTCCACGCAACTTCACAGCAACAAATCGCTAGTTTCTTCCTATGGAGAACGGAAAGAGAGATGAGTAGCAGCACAACAGGAGGAGAAGGCCGCCCAGCATGGGAGGTGACAGTAGGGAATGCTCTAGCACAAGTTCTGCCTGTATCAGGCATGTCTCATGGGCAGCAAGACTCAGGACAAGGGAGTTTCCTAGCATTATTCCTGAGCACCATTCAAAGATCTCACCTCCCTTTCACCTTCTCCAGCCACCACAGACAATTCTGAGTCTCCAGTTTATCCACAGCAACATGGAGGCACAATCAATAAATGATTCTCACTGACATAAGAAGGTTCATTGCCAGAGATAGCAGCTCAACACATGAAATCTGAGCCCAAGCTACCCTCCCCAAGCTGGAACAATACCCTGAAGAGACAGGAAGCTGACTGAGCTGCCAGCTTTTATTTGGCAGCTTTTCCCCCTAAAGTAACGTATATGGCTTGGTTTCTTCTACCTGGCCTCTGGATCTCCTGCTGGAGTGGATTCTGCCCTGCTTTCCCAGCATTAAGTTCTTGCCAATGGGAAGATTAACAGCCTCGCACATTAGGCTGGCATTTGAAGGATCAGAAACCAGGGAATATCATCTGTGCAACTGCGGCAGGTCCCAACAGGACACATCACTCTTCTGCAGTGGTTGCAGGCCTGGCCAGATCACATCCTGGTGGGCACTGCCTGCTGACCTGTAACACCCATCCCAGATCTGCCATCACAGAGCAAAAATTAAGAGCTGTACATTAACACAAGTGTTTTAAATTCCTCATCTCTCAGACCTCCCCCACCATCCGATGAAGAGATCCTGGCTGTGGAAATGCTCGCCTCCTATTGATTTACATTAAATAAATATTTGCATGGAGCAGGACTCAACACAGTTACCAGGGCTCAGCTGCAGGGCACAAACTACCAGCAACATCTCAGAAGTCTTCAAAGCCACACAGCTGGGGGAGAAACCAGAACTTTGGTACCAGTGCTCAGCCTGCCCTTTCCCACATCTGGAGAGGGAAGATGGCTGCTTATGAAGCATAGGTGCCAATGTGAGCCCAAGGGGATTGGGATCACACAGCCACACACTGCTTCACCAGATCTCTGCACAAAGATGCCTGTGGCTTTCCATGGAGGACGACCAAGATCTAGATTTTTAGTGCTCCAGTGGACACAATGCACAGAGTACCACAATGGCAGTACCAGAGCACCCAGACATGGCAGACCAGCAGCTGTTCAGAGATATCGGTAACACTAGGGATAATAAATAGCATGTGCCAGAGGCACACTGACTGCCCTGCTTTTGTCCCTGCGTGATCACTGCACATCCTCACCACTTCATGGCACAACATATGTGAACACACAGGGCAGGAAACATTTCCCAGCCTGCTTCTCTGCCAGCCCACACTCAAGATTGCTGAATGGGACACAGCCAATTCTTTTGTGGTGGAGCAATTTTAAAGGCTTCACAGTACCAACCCACTCCCCAACAAAGCTTTGGCCAACTGCCACAAAACTCACTTGTCCAGGAACAAATCCAGGGAATCCTGCTACAGCTCATTTCAAGAGACTTTCCTCCAAGCAGGTCTGAATTAAATGGTATACCAAGAACATTTTTACATTCATCATGAGATCCAAATGGGTTTTCAACACACGATCAATGGGTCCACAGAAACCTATCCCCAGTGTTTTCCCTCCGGCCAGCGGCCCTGCCATCTGCAGCAAGCATTTTCCTTCATGCCTTGTCATCCCCAACCTCCAGATGATGACTTCATCCACTCCAGCCATGAGGCCCCCACCTGGGAGCTGCCCCTGCCCCACAGCATTTCTTTCAGGGTCCAAAGTCCAAAGTCCCATTGATCCCCGTCAGCATCAACTCCACAACTGGACAGATGGGAGCACTGCAAAGCATCAGCCATGTTCTGCCCGATGGAAAACCTTTGGCACCAGCACTGACGGTTTATCTGGAAGAGAAAAGGATAAAGAAAAAGTAATATAGCAAGGTTCATAGTGCTTGTGATGAATAACCCAAGACACATGATTTTCTCTAGGCTTCTAAATAGGGAGCGTGAAGTGAGGTAAGAGTAACACAGACCTTTCTGAGAACACAAGTTTCCTGCCAGGAGAGTGACTATGAAACTGGGACACAGTTAACAGACATTATGGAAAGCAGGCTAAAGGACAAGGAGGCATAGCCTGACAGCACAGTACAATAAAAATGGCACCTGCACATTAGAAACGTGCTGTGCCAAGTACACACACACACAGGAGAACCAAATGAACAGGCAGTAATGACGTGTGGCTCAGTATCAGGGTATCTTTGTTTTCTGCCCCACGTGGCACTTCAATGTCACCTTCACAGACAGCTCAATAACCACCCATCACTGGAACTATTCTCTACCAGGAGTGGTATTTTGGAATGGGAGGGTACTGAACAGAGAGAACAGCATCTAAAGCTACTGTCAAGACACTGAAGTGAAAGTAACGGGCATTCACATACAGCACAGCAGCAGACACCAGCAAGACACTCAGCTGCTCCTATAAGCTCCCTACCAAACTCCCTTGTGCCACTCCGATTAGACAGACCACACCTGAATTTCTGTTTTGCTGGACAACCCATGCATCAAAAAGCCAAGGCATTGGCTGCTTTCATGAGTGTTGTTCCACATTTTTTCCCATCACAATACAGCTCTGTTTTCCTAGCACATTCCACTCTGTGAAGTACATATAGGCTATACATAGATATACACAAGAGGGTAGGTCTCCTGTCCAAGGGGACCTCACCAAATTGGAGGACTGAACCAACAACAGTGCTGTAAAATTCAACAAGGACAAGTGTATAACTCTACTGCTACAATAGAACAACTGTGGGAATCCAGGGCATCCCTCTCTGGCTGCCCTGGAAGGTCTGGGACCCTGGCAGGGGGTCAGAAACCCCTCCGTACAGAGCCCCAAGAGACACTGTCTCTGATCTCTGTCCTTGGAAAAGAGTTTTATTTTAAAGGATGAATTACAAGCTCCGAGTGTTTGATATAAGCAATAATTAGTGTGGTACAGGTGCAAAAGTAGAATTTTAGGATTCTAGATAAAGGGTTCAAAGGAGGCAAGATGGAGGAAATTTGGTGTCTCCTGTCTTTTTTCTTCTTCTTCATGTCTTCCATGTTTTACTGTAATGTTGGCATTTTCTATTGGTTTAGGCTGGGGACACAATGTAGGTGACAGATATTGGCACATTATTGTAAATATAGCACACGTAGTTTCTGGTATATAATGTTTGTAACATCACACTGAGGGGCAGAGCCCCACACGCTGCCCTGCAGGACAGACCTGTGGCAGGGCAGCAGAACATGTTACAAATAAGCAAGAATAAACAACCTTGAAAACCAGCACAGATGAATTACGACTTCTTCTTTGGCAGCGAGGCTGAAGGACAGAGACTTTCTACAATCTTGGGATCATTTAAATACCACAGATTCCGTCAGACAACCCCATGCACCACCATAGCCTGGAGTCCTGCTGGCTTGGGATCTGGTGGAGAACATGTTGAACACAAGCCAGTAATGCATCTTATGGCAATGAAAGCAAACAAAACAAAACAAAACAAAACAAAACAAAATAAAGCAAAATAAAGCAAAATAAAGTAAAATAAAATAAAATAAAGTAAAATAAAATAAAATAAAGTAAAATAAAATAAAATAAAATAAAATAAAATAAAATAAAATAAAATAAAATAAAATAAAATAATCAGATGGAACAAAAGGAAGGAAGTTCTGTCCCAGAATAAAGTCTGGAGAGATGGTGGCACCTCCATCCTTGTCATCCAAGGAGGACACTCTCATACAAGATCCCAAGGAACCTGACCTGCCTATGCAAGTAGTCCTGCTTGAGAAAGGGGTGTACAGAAATCTCTTGAGGTCCCATCCTACCAAAACCCACCTATGACTGCATTATCTCCTGATCTTGCATCTGCCACAGCACAGCTCAGAGAACACCTCAGCCCATTTCACTGTACTTCTTATCCTCTGAGTGGGCTGCCTATAGCCACAAATAATTAGAACAGTCCCCAGGCTGCGGGGCTGTTATCTTCCAGAAAGAAGTGCTTAGTGAGGGCATGTTTTACGTAGGCTTTCTGGTGTCTACTGACAGGGGAATAGGTCTGCTTTCTGGTCTCACTTGGAACAAGGGCTGATCACAGTAGGAGTGGGGGGGTAAACCAAGGCAACATTAACTCGCTCGCTGCCGTTCTTGGGACAGATGATCTCCGTCAGTCCCTCTGGTCTCGGCTGACTCAGCAGTTCTCCTGTGAATAAAGGAAAAGAGTGAAAATTTTTAAGCATATGTGCACAGCAATTTTTGCATTTAGTATGCCCTTCCTCACCCCCTCAACCAGGTAAACATCCATGAGTGATGCAGGTGAGCACTGCAAGAGGGCTTACTGGTCCTGCAATATGAGCAGGTCCCATACAGGTAACTGTGCTGAGTGTCCGGAGTACAGCTTTAAGACAGGCTGCTCCCCACACACGTAACATCTCCCATCTTTCCAGTCTCTGCTTTGAATCACTGCACACAGCCTCAAGAGCTCCTTAGGGATTTAGAGCATCTAGATGGAAGATTCCCTAATGCCCCTCTCCCTGGGTGCATTTGCCACAAGTGCTATGGGACTGCTGCTGCATCCTGTCAGGACCCTTAGCTACGCTATACTCTGCTGAGCATGCAAATCCCAGCTCCCAGCTGTCAGCTCTTCCATAATGGAGGCAATATGAGCTCCGTATTCAGTCACTAGCAGTGGGGGACTCTCACAATGCCTGGTATCCCTCTGTGAAGTGACTTGTGTCAGCTCCACTGTTCAAGTGCCAAGTTGGCAGCTCCTCACTGCTGGCACCCTTGCAGAATGTAGTTCAAGGCAAGACACAGGTCAGCACAGTGAAAGAAGAAAGGCAGTTGCTGAGATGTGCCCAGTCCTGGGAAACACTCCCCAACAGCTTGCTCAGAGCAAATCAAGTTTCCTCCTGGCTCCATTCCACACATGACTGGTCCCAGCAAGGCAGATATCCCAGTCATCAACATGCCATCTCCTCAGAGTAGTCCACCTACATCTTAGACACCCAAAAGCACCAGAAACACCTCTTGATAGGTGTTTCTGATAGATATTGCCTTTGAGAGCTGACCCACCTCTGGGAGGAGGGTCAGCTCTCAAAGGCAATATGGGATGACCAGCAAGGGCTCAATTATTCTGAGTTTGCCTGCATGGGTGCCAAACAGACCTACCCAAAGCAGAGGCACCAGGTCACAACCGGCTTGATCAGTGACTTTCTCTACAGAGGCAGGCCAGCTGTAAGTGGGCTGCAGCCATAGGTCCACACAAAACTCTCTGGACCCATCAATCAAACAGCCATTGTGAGCTGTCCCCATTTCCACTAAAACACTCAAGACAGATGGTCCTTCGACTCCTCTATTTTTAAATGCACTTGCAATAAATTCCTCTACTGTTAAAAAACATCAGAAAATGTCTCCTTCTGTCTAGTGACTATTGCCGGCCACTCCAGGAAAAACAGAAAAGAAATCACACTTTAAAGTACTGCTCAGCCTGTGCAGCAATAGCATAACAGGCTGCCCCATCACAGGGCATGAAGCCTTACAAATGGAGCTTCCCTCTTCTCCTTCCCTGTTCTGCTTCTCTTCTCACTTTCAGAAAACAGCATGACATTTCATATAGTGAAAACAGAGGGGAGGGCTTGGCAAGGAATACATACACTTCCCCATGCAAGATACTTGTAGGGCCAGCAATTCCAGTTTGCTCCCATAGTTTGCAATCTGAATTCACATTTGGTTTGAGTATCTCCCCTCACCTCACATCTACATATAAACCTGAACTGGCAGAGCAGCTTTTAAGTGAGGAAGATGCATCTTCCAAACCAGAAGAAATGTGATGGTATTTGCAATTCAAAGTTTAGTCTGCAAGGCAGCGCCTTCAATTACGTGAGCTGTCATATTTTGAAAGCAGAATTGCGCCCCATCAAGCATGTACACCACAGGACTCCAGCTCCCAACAATTCCCAGGTTTCCAACCCCAGGCTGACTTCCAAACTGCAGTAATGATAACTGTACTGAAAGCACTATATTTGAAAAACAAGTCACAAAATCAGTGCACCATTATGCACTTTAAAGACAGGGATAATAACCAATAGATCTTAAATCAGAGGAGTGCAATAAGACTGGTCTGTCTGCTTGAGCCTTCATTCTATTTCCATCTTCCCACTTTAGAAATACTTAGATGGTGATCTCTCACAGAGAGGAGATTGCTGTAGGGTAAACCAGATGTCTGATTTGCAGGCAAAACCCTTGCCATGGCTCTTCAATCACCCTCCTTTTCTTCATGGCTTTACCATCCTCTCTAGGCTGTCTCTGGGATAAAGCTCACCTTACCCTGCACCCAGCCCCAACCAAATCTCTTCCAGCCCCACTCCCATATCCTCCTGACATACATGCTGCTCCCCAGAAGAAAGACTTTTCTTACAATTTCTCAGTAAGACATATCACACACCAAGAGGACATGTCACCTATGCATCTTTACTAGTCATCCCCTTCTTAGCTAAAAGATATCCTGCTGCTTTACTATACTGTTCTTATCCCCTTCTCATTGCAAACTGGTCATCTTTGCCACACAAATTCATCACAATACTGAACTAGCTATAACTATCTAAATAACACCTCATATCACTACTGAATAAAAGCCAGTGCAAATGCCATTATAATATGCACTGTAATGTATACTATAACAAACTAGCATTGAGACATGCTACTTGGATACAACCCTCCAGGCCCAGAATCTCTTAGAGGTTTCAGAAACCTCACATTTCTATTCAGAAATTATTCAAACGGTAATAAAAATAAAAGCAATAAAAGTCTTCAGGGCCACATCAGGATGGGAAAGAGGAGATCCAATGACTGATTGATACAAAAGGTGATTGGCATGGGGAGGTGTTTGCTTGGCTTAATTGGTAAATTGAAGTGTAGTTTAAATGTAGCACCTTGTGTCTGCAGTACTTGTTCTGCCCCTATGTACAGACTGTATTTTGCACATTCCTCTACATTCTTTGCACATTCCTACATGTCACAAATTTTACTGGAAACCTCAGTTCTGCCTGCCCTCTCTGAAAGGTTGCCTGCAATAGCACACACACGACCACGAAGCTTATCTTAGTCTCAACATGGACTTAGATTTTAATGTTAACTTCCACAGAAGCAATAAGGTTTTAACCAAAACTCCACTACTTTTTCTTAAGGCTAAAGACTATGACAGTCAAGCACATGAAGAACAGCTTCATTTTTCAGCAGACAAATCTGCATGACTAAGATTAATCTGATTTAAGAGCATGACCCCTATTTTTAAAGGCACTTTAATGCTGGGTACTTGATGATCAAGGCCTGATGTTTAGATGCATCTAAATCCCAGATCAGTTGATAGTAGAGAGGCACCTGCCAAGCCTAGTGAAAAGCACCGACAAACAGAGAGCAAATGCTTGAGAAGATGCTCCTTTGCTGCCTCTCTTTGCAATGGCACAAATAGTGCAGAAAGTTGTATCTGTCCCATGACAACTCTCCTGGTGTTTTGGCACAGAAATTGGTCTCCACAGCTTGGTAAAATGTGCTGCCCAGCAAGTTAAGGTTGAGGCACAAAACAAGATCCTGTCATGAAACTACCATGGTCAGTTTGGCTGCTGCCATAAGTTGGTTTGTAAACACCCCCAGGCAGATGGGCTGAGCGAGTCATGCTGCCCACATCATTTAAAAGAAATGTGCTACACCTGGGCAGTTGCAGAGAAAGGCAGGAACAAACGTTCACCCTTTCCCAGAACTCTACCAGAAAGGCCTGTTTCCTTTCAGCATTAGCCAGCTCACCTGAAGCAGTCACTTCTATGTCAGCAAGATGTTCTTCGCTGCCACTGTTTTATCCCAGAACACACACAGGCACAGTCTCACTCAAAGCTCATGCCAGTGATCAGACCCATGCATGCTGCAAAGCACACTTCTCTGGCCTTTAGAAAATACCCGTGAAATGCCAGATACCCGTGACAAATCCGAGAGCTAGGAGAGACGCTGACAGCAAGAAAAGCGAGTAGTTGTAGCAGTGTTTGGTTACTCCATGCTGGCAGCCAGACAGTGTCAGCTGTAAGCCTACTTGGCTGCCTAACAGAGAGGAAGGTTGGCATGCAGGAAGAAAATCCCACCTAGACCACTTGCCTTCATGCAGTCCCCACTGCAGTAGCTGTGAAAAGTGGCCCAAGGTTCCCCATTCATGTATCATGAATCTGCTGCAAGAGCATAGGGATGAGATACTCTAATCCAGCCTGTCACACTACCTCCTCTCGCTCAGAGCTCCCAGGACAGTACATTTGCACAGTATCAGCCTGATGATGTTAATCATTTTCATGCTGTCAGGATCTGGGCCCCATTGGGACAAACAGCCAGCAGTGGATGAGCAGGACCTGACCCCAGCTCTGTGGTCTTGCTTCTCTCTATTCAGTCTGCCAGGCACCTTGACGATATATTGCTCATGCTTTATTTTACAACAAGGGCATGAGAGCCAAAACCAAACTGTTCCTACATCTTGCCTTGCTTCATCACTGACCCACTTACTCCATCCCAGAGCTGTTTCAACCAAGGACTCACTAGGGCAGCCTCAAAGCTCATGTTCTCTTACCCTAAATCCCTTCTCATTCTTCCTCCTTGCTGAAGGCCTTCCAACACAAACCACTGCCAAGTGAGGTTGACTGGAGATAGACTTTACATCACAGCCTCAAGTGCTTCTCTGTCAAGCCTCCTTTGACTAATCTTTGCTTGTGACATCTCTCAGCACAGCATTCAGCAGTCATGCCTTCAGAAGAATAGAGAATAGAACACTTCAACACTGCCTGCATACCCAAAGCACATGCCTCATGCTTGGTTTCCAACAGCAGTCAGAAAACAGGGCTCTCAGAACATCCCTCTGCCTTGCATGCAGTCCCATCCCCTTTCATCCATACGACTGCAAAGAAACTGGGGCTGGAGAAGCTACAGCTTCTGTGTCTGGCTGTTTGTTGTTTTAAGGTTCACTAGCTGAAGCACTTACACAATTACATCAAAGCTGTCACAAATGCAGGGTGAGATGAATACCCATGTGCACAGATTTCCCCTTCTGCTTTAAGCGCAGGAAACGCCCTCACACTGGGACTTTGCAGTCAGTCCTAGAAGAAATCTTCCAGGAGTTTTGGCAGAAAGAAAGGGAAGGAGATGGTGTCTCACAACAAGCCTGCATTT